TCAAGCACACAACAAACAGCCGAGGGATAGGACGTGGACGTGGACGAGGACGGGGACAAGGACAAGGACAGCGACAAGAACAAGGACAAGGACAAGGGCTGGGCCAAGGACAGGAACTGGGAAAATCCAGCGTGAGAATACCGCAACGACGCAGTTGAATTAGGGAGCAGGACTACGCAACAGATTTCTCTCCGGTATCCACCGAAAGCAGCATCATAGCTTCAGTACACTAAGAAAAATTAACATTTTTGATATTTCCGTAAATAGTATATTTTTAAGAAAACAACATTACATACAGCAGTACTTTATCTGAGACAAGACGCTTTTTAATTAATACAACATAAAAAGAAGACAATAAGAAAAAGGAATATTATTATGATGTTCTCAGTGCACCATCCTGTCGCAAATACTACCCCATAAAGGGAAAGGAGCAACAGGGGGAGGGAGGCGCACAGAGCCACCCCATTTCCGGCCTTTCAATGCCATTGTGCGTTGGGGTTGCATAAATTATACAAAACAATGCTCGCACACACATATATTATATGTATGAATCTGCCAAGGATCAAAATCGAAGTGCGTAGTTCTTTCAATTGCTTTTCAAACTAGGTTTTACGCGCTTTTAAGCGATTTTCGGTACAGTTTCTCCAATCCGAACAGTTGTTGGAGAGCCGAAGCTCGTTTTTAATATCTTTCAGTTGAAGTTCTTTCGCTTAAACACTGAGAGAAAAATGTATACGTACTTTTCACAAGAAAAAGTAAACTTAAAATCCAACTTAAGACATATTCGAAATTGTTGGATTTATTACTTTGTTTCAAGTTTCTTTAAGTAAAACCCCATTAAAATTATAAACTTTAGTTCTGTGTAAAATGATTAATTTTATTTCTACATTTGTATGAATTTTTTGTATAGTTTCATTGACAATTTAATTCCTGCAGTGTACTAAACTGGCTAAGCTCTAATTCGAAAGCCACCCCAAGTTTTTTGACATCCCAAAAACAAGGTTACCAGGCAAGTTGCGAATGTAAGTCGCAATAAATGTACCAGGTTTTCAACTTTGGCGAGGTTATGGAAGGATGAACAAACGGAATGCGCAATTTGTGAGCAGATTTTCCGAAACTGGAGACAACATATAAGGTCCTGGCAAAGGATTGTGCGTAGGCCAATAGTAAGCACGCAATTATGATACTCTAAAAAAATAATATTACAGAACAAATAAATAAATCCGTAAAGGGATTTTGGTTTTATTTTTATTTATTTTTTTATAATAAACTCTTATTCTTTAAGCAATGGTATGTCCTCTAGTATTTTTGTATCTTTTGGAGGTTAATTGCATTTATTATTCATTACTTTTCTAAAAACAACTAAGGAAATGTGAGTCCCTTTTATGGTATTACTTCTTTTGCTATACACATTCCTTAATTTCCCCACAATCCTTGAAGTGATTGGAAGGCTGAAACTTTTTGACTTGGAATTTTCCAAAAGAATCTCAATTTCATAACAATTTAATTTCGATCCGCTTGAATACATCATAAATATGAGTAGTTATTACAAAAGCACTCGTTAGCGAATCAGTTTTCACTTAATTTCTAAGGGTATTTCGATGCCTCAGTAGCGTCTTGGAATCTTTCTTTTCCGGGGTGTTACCTTATTTGGAATTTTTGGGGTTGGCGAGGCTTATATTATTCTCGACGACAACAAAGCCTAGGGATAAGGGATCGTTGGTGCGGCTCAAGGACAGCGGGATCGAGTTCCATTGCATGCCAGGACATGCTGCTGCTGCCTGCCTACCACCGGGGAAAGTAGAGAAGCACACACACAATGGGCGGCCGAATTATGAAATAATAATCAAGTAGAGCATAATCATAATGCCGTAACCTTGATGCGAAGGTAAACAATAATTAAGCCGGGCTGCGGGAATCTTCTGTGTAGAAAAAAATAGGCTTGCCAGGGGGAAAGAATAGCCATCCCGATACCGATCGCTATCCCGGATCACAATCACTATCGCACACGTGTTGCTTCCACCCGGACAGAGCTAATCCGTTGACGCAGGATTGAGGACGCCTCGATTTCGAACAGGGACATTCGAAATTAAAAACAACTGGCAGCTGCTCTCTAACTCCTTCTTCATCGTCGCTGTCGGCTTCGCCTTCGTCCTTATTCGATTTCCCTGCGTCTTGACTTCGGAGCAGCTGCACCACCGACCGCTGAGCACACGTGCCAAGGTGAGTCAGCAGGAACTGGATCACAGGGCAGGATCCCTCAGGACAGGGATTGCAAGCGGAGGGAGCCGAAATGGGAGCAGTGGCGGTGTATCGGCAAAGTAGCTATTATCCTGCAGCCATTTTCAAGTTAACCCCTTGAAGTTTCTTCTTTTATGATTGATTTTCTTATAGTATATTCTTTTTTAGATTAGTTTTTCTTTTGCTTTTGAAGCAATCGTAGTATATGTTAAATGGTAATTAATAATTAATAAAAACGATTCCTTATAAGGAGATATGTCTTATGGGTAGTAATTTTCTCAAAAAAAGCCTCAGCATATGTGTTCCTAATGGGTTAATTTGGAACCTGGCCAAGGATACCCGTAGGTAATTCCAAGCAGCAGCTGCTGCGGCTGTTGTTGCGTGTGTTGATCACGACATTTATCTGTTTAACGGCGGCGGCTGCTGCTATGTTGTTTTCTTGCCATCCTGCCATATTGCCAGGACAATTGGCAACCAGTTTGCGCCCTAAGCTTGCGAGTCCTTTGTCCCTTTCAAGAAAGCTGCCAGGCGGCAGCAACCAGATCAGATCCGACCAGAAACAACAGATGTTTTATTTTCGCGTTAAGGAACGTGTTCCCAAACATGATTTATGGCTCGACTGCTCCGCGTTAGAGGGCCTCGTGGAATGGAAAGGAATCCTCCAAGACACAGAGAGCGACAGAGAGAGGACGACCTCATCATTGTTTCCATTGACCAGCTGCAAGCGACATCGGCAGCGGTGGCGGCGTCTTGGGCCTCCAGAAGAGGACCGGCAATCCAGGAACCGGTCTTAGGCGATCCCATACGATCGCTCTGCCGCTCTTTGTGTCGTTTTTATGGCGTGTTATGATTTCGTATTACAATTAGCCGGCACAAAAGGCACACGGCAGCCTATTTTGGGCTGTCAATTGTTTTGTGCCTACGGAAAGTACCTATAAAAACGAAAAGGGTCTCCCGGTCCCATAAACAACAACGAATTCGCCGACCATGGCAGCGCATTAAACTTGTCAAAATTGCAGTTAAGTAGACATTAGATTCGTCTGAGCGTTGATTGACTACTTCATTAGCTGGGCTCCTGATGGAGCAGACCAGGCAAGGTGTTTTCCCCTTACTGGCGACACTCTGCAAAAATCTTCACCAGAGTTTAGAAAGTGTTTAGCTTATAATGAGTGCCTAATTTGTTATATTTCTTTAATCAAGGAAGTTATGATCAATGTAATTGCATTTTTAGAAAGTCATAGTACTTTTTAGTTAATGACGCCGATAAAACGATGCTTATAAGTTAACTTTTATAAACGAAATATTAGGAATTTGATTTAAAATTGATAAATCGATCATTGATGAAGGAGATTGGTAGTCCTTTTAAACCATTGGATTTTATTTTATTAAGCAGCCTAACAATAATATATAGAATTTACTTTCTAAAATTGGAAATGGTAAATAAGCCAAATAAAAGGATCAGTGTATTTTATAGATTAATCTAGTTTATAGGTTGATATTTTTGCAAGTGCAGGCTGATCTCGATCAGTCTGGAATTGGGCAGGAGCCAGGAGCCGGAACAGGAGCTCACACACCTCCCGGGCAGCACTTAAGACAAATAACTTAAACACCTATCGACAGCAGCCAGCAGCAGAGGCAGCGGCCGGCACGACTACTCCCCAGCGAGACGCATTTTCAATTAGTTCTAAATCACAACTAATTGAATTCATATCAGAGCCTGCGTCCTGCACATCGCGATGGCCATCTAGGCAATCTTATCTTAACAGTTATGATGTCCGTGTGGCTTGTGTCCGCCTATTTTGGCATTCTTAGCCGAAATTTATTGACAAAATTTGCAACACAGATTGTCGGTTTACCGGGCGAAAGGGAAGCCTTAAACCAGGTGAGCCGGACGCGGAGGAAGCTACATAACCAGTAGCCCAGTAGGCAGAACCTGCCACTGTCTAATGCAGAGAATGCAGTCAGAAAAAATGACACATTTAGCTATTAAAGAAATTTAAAAAACAATCATAAAAAGCCACTTTCAAAAGCGCTCTGATTTTGTTTAATGATTTTTTATTGAAATAAAATTTATTTCAGATTAGGTTAAGTTACCAAAAAATAAGGAAATAGTACAGTTGTCAAAATATAAACTTCATTTTTTAAATTATAAAAAGGTTGCGTACTTTTGGTCACAATTTCAATTGATTTCACTGCGATTTCTATAAAACATCCTGTATCTAAGACAAAATTGGAATACGAAAATTGAAAATGTTTTTAAAAAATGTTATTTTTTTTACAGAAGTACACTCAATTCTCAAATTTTAATAAACAAGAAGACCACTTTTTTTGGCCAAGTGTGAACGATGGACTGCGAGGCCCATCTTCTGCCAGAACCTCTGCCGCCGGCATATGTGAAATCTATGGTCGTGATGCCTGGCTAGCTGACTACCTGACTGCAAAGTCATAATAAATGGAGCACACTCCGGCTCCATGTTGAAACGGTGGCGGCGGCGGCGGCGCATGCAAAAAAGATCGGGGCAGATCGGGCGAAAGGCAGCGATTGTCCAGAGATTGCTGGGACAAGTGGCGCTGCCTTAAAATCGCTGTAGAGCAACGGCTAAAATAGGAATCAGGAAGCAAACGTGGACTTTCTTTTTTCTATTCCTTTTTCTTTTTTGAAAGTCAAACGGTTGCCGCCCTTTGGTCAAACAAAAGCTGAGTGGTATGAAACGGACAATCTGTCAGTGTTGGTAGCTCATGAGATTTTTTAGGGTAAAACCAAAATTTCATCTGACAACACTGGTCGCGAATCGAATTAAAATCAATTAAATCCAATAAAAGCCTATAAACGAGATACTGCCAGAGCACTTGACACCCTCTGAGTCTTCCCGATAAAGGCGCAGATAAGATAAGCCCGTCAAACTCTCCCTCCCCCCGCAACAGGTGTCACACAGGTGAGAGAGAGAGCGCCGGTGTTTATAATCGATTAGTAGCAATTCGCTAATGAGTTTGTTTCTTGTTTAATTAAACAGCCGGCAGAATGTGGCGACAGCTCAACGGCGCCGCACTGAAGGGAACTAGCCTCAGCAACTTGGGTAGGATGCGCGGCTTTTCGGCTCTTCTCCAGGACAAGGCCCTTGTGAACGGCGACTGGGTCGGCTCCAGCGATGCGAGCACATTTGAAGTCCGTAATCCGGCGAGCGGAGAGGTGATCGGAAAGGTCCCAAACATGACCGTGGCGGATGCCCAAAAGGCGATCAATGCTGCCAAGCAGGCCTACGAATCCAAGGAGTGGCGATCCCTGACCGCCAAGGATCGCTCCAACCTGCTCAAAGTGAGTTTTTCCTTATCTAAGAAAGAAGTTCGAGTGTAGGTGACATCCCGGCTAACGCTTATCTAATCTCTCCTCTGCAGAAGTGGCACAAACTGATCGAGCAGAACTCGCAGGAGATAGCCGAGATAATGACGGCGGAGTCGGGCAAGCCCATCAACGAGTCCAAAGGAGAGGTGGCCTACGGCAATGCTTTTGTGGAATGGTTCGCGGAGGAGGCGCGTCGCATCTATGGCGAGATTGTTCCCAGTGCATCGCCCAATCGCGAGATAATAGTCATGAAGCAGCCCATCGGAGTGGCGGCCTTGATCACGCCCTGGAACTTCCCGATGGCCATGATCACGCGGAAGGCAGGAGCCGCTCTAGCCGCTGGTTGCACGGTGGTGGTGAAGCCCTCCGAGGACACACCGCTCACGGCGCTGGCGGTGGCAAAGCTGGCCGAGGATGCCGGCATCCCGAAGGGCGTGATCAATGTGGTGACCACCAACAAGGCGGCCCCCATTGGCGATCTCTTCTGCAAGAGTCCAGATGTCAGGGGCATCTCGTTCACCGGTTCCACAGAAGTGGGCAAGCTGCTGTTCCGCAACTCTGCCGATGGCATCAAGAGGATATGCCTGGAGCTGGGCGGCAACGCTCCGTTCATTGTCTTCGACTCGGCCAATGTGGAGAAGGCGGTGGATGGGGCCATGGCCTCCAAGTTCCGGAACTGCGGCCAGACCTGTGTCTCCGCCAACAGATTCTTCGTCCAGGACGGTGTCTACGAGCAGTTCGTGGGGCAGCTGAAGAAGCGCGTGGAGGCCCTGAAGATCGGCGATGGCCAGGGGTGCGAAGTCCAGATAGGACCGCTTATCAATGAAATGCAGTTCAAAAAGGTCAGCGGTTTTGTGGAAGATGCAAGGTCCAAGAAGGCGAACATCATCCAGGGAGGAAAGCCCCTGAGCGACATTGGCCCCCTCTTCTATGCACCGACTATAGTCACCGACGTGCCGCCCACGGCTCAGCTGTACACGGAGGAGGTCTTCGGCCCGGTTGTCTCCATCATCCGATTCCGCGACGAAGAGGAGGCGGTGGCGAAGGCCAACGACACCAGGAGAGGCCTGGCCGGCTACTTCTACAGCGATAATCTGCAGCAGGTGTTCCGCGTGGCCAAGCGCCTCGAGGTGGGTATGGTCGGCGTCAACGAGGGCATCATATCCGCGGCAGAGGCACCCTTTGGCGGTGTGAAGGAGTCTGGTGTCGGAAGGGAGGGCTCCAAGCACGGAATCGACGACTACGTCGACATCAAGTACATTTGCATGGGGAACCTGAAGTACGATTGAAATCCGAAGGAGCTTCGGTCACCTCCATTGCTTTCCACAGCTGCTGTCTTCCACTAGAATGCCGAATGCGATTTGTTGATTGTTGTAATTAGTTAAATATTTGTAAAACACCGCGCTAATAATATAAATAAATGTGCACAAACTAAAAAACCCTCGAAAAACTCTTCCTCAATTCCGAAATCTCTTTACAGATCTGCTCAAACTTTGAAAATAACGGTTTTTAAGACTCAGGTACGATATAGGTACGTGGTTCGAGTATTAGGTTTGGTTTGAGTATCAGGTGTGGCTCGAATATCAGTTAGTTGGATTTTTTAGGATGAAGTTTCAATCTCTTGGCGTTTTTTAGGTGAAACCCAAACTTCCATCTGGTAACACTGAGCCCTACTCAGCTGTGCGAGGGAGAAACAAAATTACAATAGCCGCAATGCCAATGTCTGACAAAATTGTAAGTAAATTGTTGATAACAATTACAAAAATGTGCTACTTAAGTGTGCTCCGCGCGGGGAAGACCCGAGTGGGCTATGTGTGCGTTGTGATTCGGCCACTGTGTGGGGACACGTAACCCGGAAAGCCGGCAAACCAAGACTGCGTTTGTTGTTGTTGCACTTTATTTTGCAAATAGTAAATTAAAGGAGCAGCAAGGAAGGCAAGGTGAAAATGCAGGTGAAGTGTGCATGCCGAGGGCCTCGGCTAGTGCGTGAACCTGTTCATTGTCTATTGCGGCGGCCAAGACAGCGGAAAGTGAAAATAGAGCGTACCATGACTTGTAGATTTGCGAGTGTGTAAGAGTGCAGTCTGTGCGAAAGGGGGTGGCGCGGTGAGAGGGAGGGCATTGAAACTCCCGAAGCAAAAATAAATTATTAATAACTTTAATTTGTGGCCATGCAATTAGAGGCAAACGAAGTGAGTTCATCCACCAGACGAGGCGCAGTGCCAATGCGGATACTGAAGGTGTTCGGTGTCTGTCTGGCGCATTGGAAAACGGTTCTAGGATGCACTCAAAGAAATTTTCGGTGTATTTAGCCATTTAATTCAAAGTGAGGTGTTGAGTAAGCCAATAATGATGTTTAAAAATAATCAAGATATAAATTTTATACATATATTTCTAGTATTGATTATTTATTAACTGAAATTAATGCAATTGCTTTTTTTTAATGTGCAAATTAATCTCTTTTAACATCAGCGCTCTTTTTGGCAAGGCTTTGTATTTGTTTTTAATTGCGATGCCAACAGAATTTCACAGTCAAGTTCGCGCCTTCATGACGTACAGTCCGAAACACTAAACAGAAAAGCCTTTCAGGCTTTGGTAGCTTTATAGCTACACTTGACACCCAACCCAAGCCCAAGCCATCGTCCTTACCGGAAACCAAAACCACATCCCCCTTACCCAAACCCCACCGAATCCCATCCAGACATGGCCTGTGCCCCGCTTCTGCTCGAGCAGTTCATCTACAAGAAGCGCAATTTCGCCTACGCCTTTGTGCGCCATCGTTTGTTCGTGTTATGCAAACAGTCGGTTGTAACGGAACTCAATTAATGCACCAGCCTTAGTTACCAATTACTAATTATATAATTCCTTCCGCTTTCCTTACAGCTAATTCGCGTTCAGTCTGCTGAGGGCATCAAACGCATTGAGATCTCGCCCAAATCCAACCTAAAGCAGCTCTACGACAGCGTCCAGAATGCCTTGAAGGTCGATGGATTTGGACTGTTCAAGGAACGCAGCTTCCTCACAGAGCTGCAGGCCAGTGGCAGCCAGCTGGTGGGGACATCCCTGAAGCATGGTGACTTGGTCTACTTGAAACAGATGGCTGGCACATCGTCTCGCGTAAGTTTGAGTTGCTTTACTAAAGTTTTACGAAAGATTGAACGGATTTTTAAATAATTTCAGCGAACTAGCACCACTGTCTTGGACAGTCAGATGTTCAAGACCAGCGAAAAGGCAAGCAACAGCAACCCAAACAGTGCTCGTCCCTCCATCAATGTGGTCGAGGATGAGGTTGACCAGGTGCTGAGCAAGGCGGATGGCACCATTAAGCGGGAACGCGATAGCAAGCTGTAAGCTTTATATTTTCAGATGAAACTCCAGTTTACTAATCAACCAACATGTTTTCTAGCTGCCATCATAATGCCAACGGCCGTTGCGTCCACTGCTCCGCACTGGAGCCCTACAACGAGGCCTACTTGAAGGAGCAGAACATCAAGCACTTGTCCTTCCACTCGTACATACGCAAACAGACTTCGGGCATGGATCAAGGCAAGTACTTTGTCTTCGACGACATCAACTGCCGCATCAAGCCCGGCTGTCGCGAGCATCCGCCATGGCCCAAGGGCATCTGTTCCAAGTGTCAGCCGTCTGCCATCACTCTGAACCGTCAGACCTACCGTCACGTGGACAATGTTATGTTCGAGAATACCAAGATTGTTGAGAGATTCCTCAACTACTGGCGCACCACCGGACATCAGCGCATGGGCTATCTTTATGGGACATACGAGCAGCACACGGACGTTCCGCTTGGCATTCGGGCGAAGGTGGCGGCCATTTATGAACCGCCGCAGGAGTCAACACGCGACTCGATCAACATTCAGCCGGATGAGGGAGCAGACGATGTGGATGCCGTGGCCAACGCGCTGGGATTGAAAAAGGTGGGAATACAGTGTATAATGCAATCAAATTCAAGGCTAATTGTTAATTTTTCAAACAGATTGGTTGGATATTCACTGATCTCATCACGGAGGATGCTAGTGCCGGCACTGTTAAACAGATCCGTGGCATCGAGTCGCACTTTATCACGGCCCAGGAGTGCATCACAGCCGGTGAGCTGCAGAATCGTCACCCAAATCCCTGTAAATATGCCTCCAATGGCGTCTTTGGCTCAAAGTTCGTGACCATTTGTGTGACGGGTAAGCATATAGTGTGGCATCCTCTCTGTTCTAGTTTTTTAAATTTTGTGTTCCTTTTGTTTTTTAGGAGATAAAACCAAACAAGTGCACATGGAAGGCTATGCGGTATCGGCTCAGTGCATGGCTCTAGTGCGTGATAAATGCCTGATACCCACTAAGGATGCGCCGGAGCTGGGCTATGTGCGCGAGTCTACAGACAAACAATATGTTCCAGACGTTTTCTATAAGGTAAGTGATTGGTTTTCTTTATTTAATAACAAAAGCTGCCTCTTAATGTGAGATCTTCTAAAAAAACATAAAATTAAAGCGAGACTTTGAACATTCAACACAAGGAACCAAAGTAAATTTCCCAAAAAAGAAATAGGAACACTTCCCGTAGCGACTTTTATTGAAATTTACATTTACATTTACACACTCAAACAATTTCCATATTTAGACATTTATAAATATTTTTTTCTAGTTTAGGGATACATAGTTTGATTTCAATACTGATTTAAATACTTTGCGGATTATGTGAATGAATTTATGTTCTCACCGGTGATATTTACTTTTGTACTACTTATCATTGCTCTGGGACTTCCTAGCAGAATTTCATGCCTTTTTTTTGTATACCTAGAGACATTCACACACAAAATGCACACGCATGAGATCAGATACGAAATTATGTTTACTTTTGAATGTTTGAATGGAGCCCTTTGAGCATCTCTTAATCACAATGTTGTCCAGATGTTTCCTGCTTCACAATTGACCGATGTACCAAAGATCTTATAATACCAAGATGAGTAAAGATTCTTTTTTTTTTAGATGTTTACGCTCTTAATTTGCCGCTATGCATCTTGTTACAATAAGGTCTTTGGCTGTACTTTATATTTGTATACTCTTGCAAAGGGTATTATAATGGTTTTATCCTTTCATCTGGGGTTTCATCCTTGTCTATCTAAAATATCATAAAGTTTTCGAACGTGATGATGATTTTTCTTAAAACTCAATATTATAAATATTTCTAATTTTCGTTTCGTTATATCTTGCCTAATATTTTTAATTTCTTACTTTTCGTTTAAAACAATTTGATTTCTTCTTATTTTCATTCAAAAATACTTTCGATTTGGCTTTTAACATAAAATATATAATTTCTTTTCGACGATTTCCCTTAATTATAATCGGATGGCTCTTTTTGTTTACTAAATTGTTATTTTCTATTGCATATGCAATAGACACCAACTAACTCTTAGCAATATTTATATACTACGCATAGATATTTCAAGTTTCTGCGCTTGTTTCTCATAAGCTTATTCAAATTTCACCTATATGAGCTTCTACTTGCTTTGTATAGTTTTACCAATGGCTAATTTTTATTATTCCACGGCTTAGCCTAAGTTTATATCCAGGTAACGTCGCAGCGCTTAGACACCAATTAATGGCTGTCCTTATGCTATTGAAATAATCCGAAAACTAATCCGAAAACTAGTTTATAAATTTAATTCTCATTCAATTTTCGTTATAAATTCCAAAGATGAATTTCTGTTGGTTGCATTTTTGGTTTTGATATTTTAAAGAGCCTCCAAAAGGATGATGTTGTTTGTTTTGTTTGTAAAGTGTTTATATAAAAATCTCCCTAGTTTGTTTGGAATCTAAAAAGTTTTGGTTTCTTTTAAAGTGTTCTCAAAATCTCTTCTTATCTTGCTTATTGACCTTAAAAGTGAATATATTATTGCTACGAAAAATTCGTACCAGGAGCTTTTTTCTTGCTTAGAAATCTGACAAGGGTGTACATTAATATTTGGTTTTTGGGGCTCCACCGCTCTTTTTATCGGTTAATGTGATATTCGCCGCAATTCCGAATGAAGCACTTAACCGCCAGTCGACCAATGGCATTTCCTGTGGCAGCAATTCGGTCAACCACTTCGATGCCCTCGACAATGTACCCAAAGATGGCCGTAAACGAGCGCATCTCGTTGAGCACCAGCCGGAATTGGCTGCCAACAAAGCCACTCTTGTCCTGCCGCCTCTGACCCCTTCGCATGCCAACGGTTCCCCGGTGGGCCGGCAGTCCCGTATCATCCGGCATAAAGTAGCGCGTGTCGAAAGTGGAGTGGCCACCCCGTCCGTTGTTAGATTCAAAGTCCCCGCTGATGATGCTCTCGCCTCCCCAGGCTTGGAACACGGAGCATCCGCGATAGCCATAGCCTCGGTCATGCCGAATGAGGGCTCCAAAGTTCTCCGACATCCGGGGAGCCACATCGTCACGCACCTCCACTAGTACTCGACCGACCAGTTCCCCTGCCATGTCCATTTCCATATAATAGATGGGATAACAGTGAACGGAGGGCGGGCGGGCTATGCTTACCAAGAAACTGGATCTAGAGTTATCATTCTGGGCCAATATCGGGAGTAGCTCGGGACTCCAGTTGGGATCGTCGTGCCGTAAAGTTGGCAGCTGCTGTTGCACCTGCTGGTGAAGCCGCTGCCGCCTCAGTCCCTCATGCGCCATCTGCCCGTTCATCCCTTGTTGCCGCTGCCACTGGGACTGGGACTGAGACGGGCACTGGAGCTCTTGATTCATCATATTGAACTGCAATTGAGTGCTCTCGGACAAGTGATTGGTCTGAAAGCCGGCGTAGCTGCTGCTGTTGCTGGTCGACGAATTGACAGAGTTAACAGAGCCCTCGCGATCCTCGCCGGCGGAGAAGTAGCGTGCTAGAAGCTCCTCATTCTGATCCGGCTGCATTTCACGCGCTACTCCGGACTGCGGCAGCAGCTCAGACGGCATCAGTCGGTTCTGCAGTTCGGTCCAGTAAGCAAACACGCAGTAGTTGGTTAGAATGAGTGCCAGTGGTGGCTCCACATTGGCGGGTATGCTGCTCGGTCGCAGGTTACTGCGCAGCTTTAGGAGCCTGTCATTCAAGGTCTCAAAGTCCAAAACCTGCATTCCATTCTCCCGGATGGCGGCTCGCATCCGGCACTGGAAGTGCACCTCCACGAGCTGTCTCTCGCACTTGCGACGCTGAATTACGAACCGCAAGAGAAGATTACGTAAATCCGTGGCAGAGTGAGGCGCGACGAAGCTATTTAGTTCGTGCTCGGCGCGGACACTCCATCCGTTCATTTGGCTGGAAACCATGGAGGGCTTGTGCTCTAGGATCTCGCGCTTCACATGCAACTGCAGCCGGAAGCAGGCCTCGTGCAACTGGCGGAACACGTTCAACTCGTGGGCGGCCAAGTCCGAGGCCTCGGCAGCAGCGCGCTTAATCTTCACAAGCTCGGCGCTAAGGAGCTGGCGCAGCAGCTCCAGGTAGTCCAGCTGGCGGGTGAGGCGGTGGTCTCGATGAATCGGAGCATCTGCGCAGGCGCGACATAGCAAAAGCTGGCAGTTATGACACCACGTTGAGTTGGGCATGGCATGGATCAGGCAATGTTCGCTGCTGCTGGCCAGGAAGCTATTCACGCAGATTTGGTCTAGCCAGTTCGCCGGGGAAACGGCCCGCTGCTCACCTACTATGGTACTGTTGCTTTCCCGCGAGAAGCCCAGCATGGCTCTGCCTAGCACCAGAGCCGGCAGCTCACGCAGCAGGAACATGATGGCCATCGTTTCCGGCAGCTTGCGGCCGAGCAAGGCGGTCCGAACACCGCAGAGTGGGCACAAGCATTCGGAGGTCTCTTGAATGAGGCTACTGGCCACACACTCCTCGCAGAGGCTGTGTTGGCAGACCAGCTCCTTGGGCAGGCGGCGGGTAACGAGGTCATAAGGACGACGGCACAGGCCGCAGCTAAGAAGCGACGCCAACTGACTGGGCACTTGCATGGGCGCCGCCATTGTTCCTCGCCACTGAAATGGGAAATTTATAAAAAACAAGAAAGGAATTTAACCTCGGTAAGCCGACGTTTTTAATTTGTGGTTTAGTTTTGAATAATTAATAATAATACCCCTTAGATATAAGCATTTCTTAAATCGATATTTATCGATTTAATTTTTTCCAGGGAAATCAAAGTTTAAACAACCAATTACTAAGCCAAACAGCCTTCATTTTGAATCCTATCTCAGTTCTGGGTTCGTTTTTTTTTTGTTAATAAATATGTATAACAGTTTTAACAATTTAAACCTTTCAGTCAGTCAGAAATCTATATGAAACCTAATGGCAAAAATGATTCCAGTTTATAAATCGATATCCCTTTTTTTCAGTGCCTAAGCAAAACCAAAATCGACCCCGTTATACATTTTCAGTTTAATTTGTGGTTTTGCACAAATCATCAACAGATGTCCCAAAACTTTGTTTGCACTCAGCCCGAGCTGCTTATGCGCTATAAATAAATACCCAAATTGAAAAGTGGTTGCCTTTAGCAAGACTAAACTTAACAAAATATAAGGAAACTTTTACTTATGGGCTTAAATTGATAGTACAAATTGCTACTTTCGTTGCAACAACATTCCTTTCTCAGATTCCTGCCTTTAAACTTGTCGCTTAATTCTTGATTTCTTATCGAGAACAAACTTTGTGAATTTAAAAATTGTTTCAACTTTGAGTTTTCCACTGTGATTGGGTTGCCATCCCTTGGGTCAACTCCTTCCCCCAGAAATTCGGCGGCCAAAAGACAATTTCTCGTTAGTCGGTCATAAGTAAGTCGGCAGCCTAATTCTTGAAAAACTTTCCGCCGTGTGCCATTTATTGGGACTTTGTTCTAAGCCGTGTAATCAAACTTTTCTCGGGCGATTTCGACTGCCAAAGGAGGAAACCGCCCAGTTTAATGTGTAACAAGCGGTTGCTCCTTCCCAGGGGTCAAGTCACGGTGCCCCTGGCACCAGGAGCCAGAGTCGTGCCCAGGGATATTGAATTGCATTCCGAAAACCACAAACTTTGGGGATGCGCAGAATGCGTATTCGGTTCTTGGGGAGAGTTCTTCGGAACTGGCCTTAACAGGTTAATTAGTATTCAATCGAAGTAATTGTGATCACAATTCTGAGTAATTATGCTCGGTATTGTTAAAGCTTAAACATATTTCCAGGAAAATTTTATGATAAATTCTGTTTTTATGACAGAAACTAAAAAACAGTTGAAAAATGGCAACACTGCAGTCACCATTTCTTTAGCCATTTTGCTTATTTTTGTCGTAGAGTCCACTTCTTTGTACTTTCTTCCATGCCATTGGACAGCGAGGCACACGTTTCGGGCATTCCTCACGGTTATTTTATTTTTCTGTTTATATTATTCACTTTTAGGGACTTTTGCCATTTCACTTCCCTTACATTTGAGCCTCCCCCTTTGTTTTGCAATTATGCAAATGCCTTAAGCTGTCTGCAAATTCTGCAGCCTCCAACAATTATCGAAGGGAGCTCCTTCTTCGCATATGGCATTAAGAAAACAGTGCTTCCTTTTTACTTTTTCTCTTTATTTTCTTTTGGGGTATTTTGGGTTGCCCACGTTTTTCGCAGTCTTGCCTAGCGAATGTGTAAATTGAAAAAGTAAATTCCTGGCAGCAGTCCTTGACATAAATTCATATTTATGGCAATTGTTTTGTCTCTCAAGGAGGTGTGTGTCTTAAATGGAAATTTTGGTGAAAACGCGCCAGAATTTGTTGCTGTTATTGTTAACACGCTGGAAAAGCGAGCTTTTCATGAGGTTCTTCTTGTTTTCTTTTTGCCACATTTGCGGAAAAGACAATGACAGATTTGTATTGTTGCTTGTTGGTCGGTCGGACGGTGGCTTTATTTGCTTTTGGCACCGAGTTGACAATAAATTAACCGACCTTACGTTGACGTCTGTCACCTTTATTCAGGCTTAACTCTCGCCACATTACACCTCGTGTTTAACCCCTGACGATACCTCCAATTCCCAAATTATTAAGCGAGCGACTGACAAATGACATTGCAAATTACTCGATGGGAAAATTCTGTGCACTTTAATTGCTGTCGCTTTGTTTTCACTGCCCTGCTTTTGTGACTGAGCGGGGGCGTTAATTGGATAGGCTTTTGTTAAGCAAATGAATATGGTTCTATAATCCGGCCATCACGTGTCATTTTCATAGGACTAATTAGTAGCAATTATAATGGAGAAGCAAGTGCATCCTTGACCTGAGCCACGTTTAAGGAATAATCAATAAGCACGGCCTGCAGTAAATTATCGAACTATATAGAAATTCAGAGGCTTAAAGGAAAGCCGTTTCTGCTAAGGCTATCATAATACTCTATTACTATATATTTTATATTAAATTTATTTTATTGAATTGCTACTTAAACTTTACCCTTTCCAAATACTAAATTGTGTTTAATACCACATTTTCTCTTGGCTAAATGCTTTACTATTTGGACAAATTTCTCGGATTTGGTTTTTGGCCCAAATTGACATTGTTTGTTTGTCCTATGCATTTTTAATAAGGTTAGCCTGTTGCACAATTCAATGTCTGCTGGGGTTTTCCCTGGGGAACTTCTACCTGGGAAGGCTCTTTGTCTGGTCTTAGAGAGAAATTATTTATGAATTTTTTGTACGTCTCACAACTTATTTATAGCCACTGTCGAAGCCTTTCGCTTAGCACATACTCGAGTATATGAAATTCCCAAATGAAATTAAAAGTTAGCGCCCAGGTTATGGTTTATGCAAGGCACTCTGGTTCGCTACCAGGGAAACCCCTGAATTCATTGTTGGATGAAATTATTTTAATGCGAATTTTCCGGAGAGCCGGCAGCACTTAATAGGGGAACTTTTCACAAATATTTTGGAAGCATAACTTTAGCATTTCGGGAAGTTGCATAAATCCGAACCTTAATGCCTGTGCATTCTCAGACTACCTTTTCCATTTATTTCCACGACTGCGTATCCAGGCCAAGTATTCGGATTAAAATCCCAAAAAAAAGAAAAGAAAAGTGGCGAAGGCAAATCTGCAAATCGATAAGCAATTTGTGGTCCTGTTTGCTGCGGTTTTGGCGCACTTCCTTTGCCTTGAGCTCATTGTCAATGCCATAGGGCCAGGACTCAGGGCCTGGGTCGGCTTTCTGTTTTTATGCCGGACCATAAAAGTTTATTGCGTGGCCCGGCCAGTGTGTCACCTTCGACGGAGGAGGCCTGTGTGGGTCTAAGCACCTCTTCCGAACTGGACAAATGCCATGCCCCTTTGCTAATTGCCATAAGCAGACTAGGGGCCCTGACAATAATTGGTTTCTCCACTTTAATGACTTTGCAAACGTGCTGGGAATTTTCCTACCCATATGGTCAAGTGTGTGGTGCACTTCATATTTGCCGGGAAATAGTCGAAGGGTCTTCTGGTATTTGCTGTGGTGTGCAAGCTCTGCGATAATGGAGAGTCTCGTTTGAATAATGCATAGCATTCAAGTTAAGCACTACAGCCAGTGGAAATTGTTCTGCAATTGTGTCTTACTTTCTTTAATAGAATGCTTGCTTAAATTTAATTATATAGAACTATTTCACAGGGACGTTGTAATTAAATTAATTCCAATCCAATCCAATCAAACTTGAAAAAAGATGAAAGTAAATAAACGAGAGCCACTACACACTTTCACAGGAAGTGTGAAATTGCGAAAACTAAAAGGAAATCATTGGGACAAACAGAACACAATAAGGTTTCCGTTGCCGAATAGTTACACAGAAACACACACGCATTGCACTCTGTAGGGTTTTCCAAATGGAGTTTGACAATTAATTAGCATACTTTTGCGGGCAAGCGACCTTTTTTGATTGATGTGCTTGCCTGCCTTCCAGCCAGACTTCAATCATGCAAATTAATCTTCAGCATGTCAAATCATGAGCTAATCAAAGGAAAACTTTGATGGATGCGAAGTGGAATGCGGCGAGTCCCAGACTTTGGCTGCATCCGCTGAGATATGATAATAATCAATTCCTTCTGATTACAAATATCAAAGGAAGACACAAAGATCTAAAAATGGATAATAGCATTTGCCAGGTTAAATATATTTCTTAAAGTATTTCTGTTTATAAAGATAGAGCCTTGGAAAAAGGCGAGCTCAAGGCTGAAAATTGCGTCAGTCTTGTAAATTAAAATAAAAATCTTTGGGTACGACGGGTATCTCAGTGCCAATCACACTCCACTGTAAGCTTACCATTAATAGATCTTATTAAATTCTTCGGTAAATTCTTGGCATTTATATTAATAAATGTTTTTCTGGATATTTGTTCTTTTGTTTGAAAATGCACAGGAACTTGATTGTTTTCACTTGCTGCTGCTCTCTCTCTCTCTATTTGCTACTTTGAAAATGCATCAAAAAATAGTTGCTTTGGTCATTTATTGTTTTCACTCGCACTGATTTATCTATTTTTGAGTGCACTTGCAGGAGGTGAAAGCCTTGAATATTTTACTTTCACTCTTCAGACTGATTTTCTTTTTGCAGTTTGCAACCTGTTGTTGTTGCTTCTTCTTCTTTACGTCCTTGGGCTCCTTTTTTGTCTGTCCATCTACCCGGGAAATTTGCTCCAGGGATAGCTGGTCCTGCTGCAGCCCCTCCTCCTCCTCCTCCTGCTGCCGTATCTGCTCCTGATGCTGCTGCATGAGCTGTTGCTGCTGCTGGCGGGTCTTGAACGCTGCATTGCTAATCTGCCAGCTGCTGGCCGAGGAGCGCAGCAGTGGCTTCGTGTGCTGCTGCTGGTAGCTGGGCGCAGCACTGGCCAATCCCGCCGAGCTCTCGGACGTAAGCGTCGAGGAGGCGACCGCCGTCCAGAACATGATGATCCACCAGGGCTCTGATGATGGTGGGGGCGGGCATGTTAGCCAAAAAAACAGGAGAAAACCTAAACTGGACACTAAGGAAAGCGCGGTTTAAATTTCAGCTCGGGACTAGTCCTTTTCCGCCAAAATCGTCCTGCTGCCGTTCACGATTTGCTGACAACTGCAGCCCCTGCCTGGCAGGATGTGCCTTTTATATGCGGAGAGCGAAAGCTCGCTTAGCTTTCGGTCCTTTGGCCTGGCTCTCTTTTACTCGGTTTCAATGTCAATGTCGAGCTCTTATTCTGCTCACTGACTCCTGCAGGCTACTGCTGCAATTTTTGCATATAACTCGACCTAATATTATATATTTTTACATATTGAAAGGAGTTTCTAAAAACTAAGCACCTAAAATATAAGACAGCTTTTAGTTGGAAATCTTTTTAAAAATGCCGAAGGAGAATTAAAATGTAATGTTTATTGAACTTTCCTATAAAAAATGTAAAGGTACCTGAAATTGTTGCTGTATTTGAAATATATTTTATTTCATTTAATTAAACCTTCATATATGTATTCAGGGTTCTATAATTGTAGTCAGAAGCTGGTAACGTAGTGAAGGAGTCATTTCCGACCCCATAAATCGTATATATTCTTGATCAGCATCAACAGCCAAGTCGAACTGGCCATGTTTGGTAGAAAAAAAAATTTACTCAAAATTTCAAAATTTTATAAGGGGTTACATCATTAAAAATGCCAAAAATTGACATTTCTTAAAATTTTAAACTTAGTGTACTGATCGTTTAACCTAGTAAAAACTAGCACAGAAAAGCTTTCCGAATTGAATTTGGCGCTTTTTTGGCTTAGTTATGCTGTTTTTTAACATTGATTTGTCCAAAAATGTATCACATAAAATATGAATAAATATTGGGGCTTTTTCGTGCAGTTAACAAAATTTTCTGTAGTACTTTATCTGCAATACCTTTGCATTACAATTTACTTCTACTTTTGCTTGGCTTCCAGGAAGCTTGATTAATTGCAGTAGCCCAGGCCAGGCAGGCATGTGTGGATTGCCTGCGACATTGCGATAACTCTTAAGTTAATTGGAAAATTAATGGTTGATTGATTTATGCTCTAAGCTGATCAGTGCAACCCTTCAGCCCATTTCTATTGTTTAGGCCACCTGTGGCCAGCTATTGCTTGCTATCTGCTTAGGCACATGCTGTCCTTCCATGCCATGGTTAAACCACCTCTGACCAAATATAGTTTTAGGAAATTTAATTGAATTTTCAAGTTTGAAACTATATTTTGCTTGCAATCACTGATAGGAAACAAAAGTTCCACTGCCAGTCAATTTAGTATTTTAACACGATTAAGGGCGCTGCTTCCATATCGTACCCAGCATTGGTTATCTTAGTACCTATTGCCCGGTCACAAGTCTATCTTTATGATGGTCTCCCACTCTGGTTCGCTACTCGGACATCCGGCGACGGCTAATTAACTTACGCTTATGAAAGTGATGCATCCATGCAATGCAATCGAATGAACTGCCGGGAAGGGACAATTGTTGACGTACTGGCTTCATCGACGCCGCCCCTTCTTTGTGGACGCATCACAGGATGCAGTAATTGCGTTTACGAGGACACTGCTGCCATGTGACATGCCTAAACCGCAACACGCTTCAATATTTTTTCTCTGCAGACACTATATTTTCACTGGGCTCCACCCAGCGGCAGGCGTAATGCAAATTTCCTTTTAATTACCGTCTGTTGCCTTTTCGAAGACTTTTAATGATATTTTGTCCACTGAATAAGAAATCAAACTTTATAGAAACCAACAGGACAAAACATAGAATATAGAATTTATTATCACTCCTATTCATGGGAGGGAATCCCAGAATGCCGACAAGCATTATTTCAGCGAGACTGTGACTTACGCTATGCTTCCTAGCTCAGTGCTAAGACGGCTAAACCCCTCTGTATTGGATCCGCTGCCAGCTCCAAGAGCACTGGCAAAGTGCCGACAGCCTTGTTGTGGGCAAGGTCATTGCCGAGCTAACAGGTTGCTCTCCCCAAGAGCTTTCTTAGAGAGAAAGAGAATCCGATGCGCGTCAGCAATAGTTTTTTGTGTGTTTATTAGACTCTCGCCCCATTTCAGATGTAGGTCAGTGGGCCAAGTAGCTAACACCTGTACTAACGTGATTTTAACCTCTCTCTACCTTTGTCTCTCTTTGATTCCAGGAAAAAGACCAGTACGGAAACGAAGTGCAGCGCCTGGCGCGCCCTCTGCCCGTCGAGTATCTGCTGGTGGATGTGCCCGCCTCGACGCCCCTGCAGCCGCAGTACACCTTCACCGAGTACGACAAGCGTCAGCCGTTTCCCATCGAGAACCGCTACATCGACGGCCACCTGCAGGACTTCAATGCCCTCAGCTGCTATCTGTCTGCCTGGGGCGAGGAGGAGTTCCTCGAGGCCATCTCGGACTTCCACCTACTGGTCTATCTGTACAAGATGGACATGCTGCCGCTGCGCCAGCACATGGGTCCGCTTCTGGAAGCAGTGCGCACCAAGAATCCCAACCAGGCGGCCAAGTTTAAAATCGAGGAGGTGTGGAAGCTCCTCGAATCGCTCATTCAGGCCAGCTCCGGCGGCAGCGGGTGAGTTTATTATCAAAATAAAATGTAAATGGGTCATCATATTTCATACATATATGTGTGTATCTGTTTTCATAAGCTTTTAAGCTGAAGTTTATTTGAACCAAAAATAGTAGTAGTATTTAATTCTGTTCGTTCTTCCTTTGCAGTGGCACCACCAGCTATCCCAGCGGCGGAGCGGCGGCCAGTGCCGGTGCATCTGGAGTGGAGGCCATGGACTTGGACGCCAACACATGGACGTGCAACCACTGCACCTTCATCAATCGCGGCGAACTCACTTCCTGCGAGATATGCTCGCTACCCAGATAAGGATCCCTGGGCCCAAATAATTCCACGTTGTGCAGCCCGGATGATGGACCCTTCTAAATTCTGGTGTAGAACAAAACTAAAGATTGAATCATACTTACTTATAGCGGCGGCGGCAGGAAGACATGGAGTGTCCCTCAAACACACACACGCATACACAAAAATACACACATAGAGGCAAATGTCGTGCTTTCTCTATATATGTAAACCTTGTGTAAGAATTTTATTAAATAAAACAACAACAAAATCCTTTCTTGTTGTAATTTACCTTTATTTGTTTATCGCCCTGCAGTGAAAATCGCAAAATTAAAAAAATTAAAGCATACTTTTGGGGATTTTAAATAAAAATGTGGCATCTTTTAGGCGGAAGTTCAATTTACAATCGCAAAATTAAAAAAATTAAAGCATACTTTTGGGGATTTTAAATAAAATTGTGGCATCTTTTAGGCGGAAGTTCAATTTACAGTTTGACAAGCACTGGACCAAGTGAGATTCAATTTTTACAGTTTGACAAGCACTGGTCAGAAACTCCCTTTTGGGCGTCCCAAGTGGAGTTTCTGTCCAGTGGCTCTAAAACTGTAAAAATTGAATCTCACTTGGTCCAGTGCTTGTCAAACTGTAAAAATTTGGAACTCCCTTAGACCAGTGCTTGTCAAACTGTAAAAGTGGAGTTGCATTCGTCCCCGCCCAAAAGTATGCCTTATTTTAAATTTTTTATTTTTTTTTTTTTTTCCTATTATTTATTAAGGCATACGGGGAGTACTGTTTACCCCTTTGTGTCCTTAGTGTCTGTTAATTCAGCCCTAAAGCGGGCGCGCCGGCAACCTTATTGGTTAGCATTTTTATAATTACAAAATAGCATAAACATCACATTGTAGGTCGTCTACTTCTGGCCCCAGGCGACCGAAAAATGAGGTCTCCAGGGTACCTCCTCCTCAGTCTTCTGGGGTTTATCCCTCTTGTTAGCCTATTGGCCAGCCAGTTTCGATGCTGCGCCAGTCTGTCATGGTAGCGACTTGAGTGCATGCTGATTTCTTCCATCACCAGGGGAAGCTTCAAGTCCTTGCGCAGGGTGGAGTTGCGGACGTACCACTCGCAGCCAGTGATAATTCTGGCTACTCTGTTCTGAGCAGTCTGGATTCTCCGGATCTGACTATCGCATGTCAGCCCCCAGATCTGGCAACCATAATTTTTTATTAAAGACTTAAAAATTCAGCGCAAAAGATGCCACAAAAATGACCAAATAATATTTAAAAATGCCTAAAAGTATGCAATTATTTTATTTTTTGATTTAAACCAGAAAAATATAAGAAAAATAAGGAAAACACCTTTTAAAGCGGCAATAAAACTAAGAAAATAATTAAAATACACTTCAAATTTCCTCTCAAATAAACAAGGAGACGTTTCCGACCCTATAAAGTATATATATTCTTGATCAGCATCAACAGGGGAATCTTTCTAGACATGTCCGGAAGAAATCGATTTTTTGACCATTTTTGCAAAATTTTATAAGGGGTTACATCATTAAAATTTTTGATTTTGATAAAAAAATTTAATTTTCAAAATTTTTAAATGAAGTATGCAGATTTATTAACTGTAGAAAATCTTGCACAGAACTGTTTTCCGATTTAAAATTAATGCTCTTTTGGCCGAGTTATGATATTTTTAATTTAAAGATAATCAAGAAGTTTTTTAATATAAAAAATCAGATTTTATAATACAAAATAATATTTTTCTAAGTCAAGGAATCATTTCCGACCCTATAAAGTATATATATTCTTGATCAGCATCAACAGGGGAATCTTTCTAGACATGTCCGGAAGAAATCGATTTTTTGGCCATTTTTGCGAAATTTGATAAGGGGTTACATCATTAAAATTAGCAAAAATGGTTAAAAATTTTGATTTCTTAAAATTTTAAATTTGGAATGCAGCTTTTTTAAATTAATAAAAACTAACACAAGACTGCTTTCCGAATCGAAATTAATGCATTTTTGCCTTAGTTATGATAAATTTTAATTGTTACCTGCAAGGGTATACAAACTTTGGCTGGCCAAAGTTAGCTTTCTTTTTTGTTTTTTATTAAGTTTGAGATTCAAATAAGTATTTACCTGTGTATATGTTAAATTATATATATATAAATACAGGTAAGTATTTATTTTAACCTCAAATTGTTGGAAAAAATCAAAGACAAGATTTTCTATAGCAACCTGTAGGAATTCAACAGACTGAGAACTTGAAAACTCTGTAGGCTTCCACATATCAGTCTATACCCAAATTTGGATGTGATAAGATTATACCTTACCCCTTCGGCTAAAATATTCGGACACAAAATTTGGTTACCAATTTTTTTTTTGCAATTAAATTGTAATATTAATCGGACCAGTTCCTTCTAGCAAAATGGCGCTTCGTCTTATCAGTTTAGCACGCATGCCCTCCCTTCTCGTGCCAAAGGTAAGCGCCATTGCGATGGATCATCTCTAAATCCTTACTTGATTTGATCCGATCCTTAGGTGAAGCCAGCGCAGCCGCAAGTTCGCTATTTGCTTAAAAGTAAGTAACGCGTTTCGAAGCATCCACAGTATCGATCTAAAAATGAATGCGTCTTGCAGGGGATCGTCTCGTGCCATTTGTTGATGAAGTACCAACTGTGTTCTCGATACCTGCCATTAAGCACCATTGGGGGGTGAGTGTATAAATCAAAAACCTACCATTAAGAGTGTATAATAAGTTACTTGTGTTAACTAATCAATGATCAATATCTTTATGGTTGTGGGAAGATGTGTCTATATACGTTTCTAAGCTTACATTAGGTGCCTCTAACAGACGTTTAGTAAGGGTCAATGAGAGATTTCTTTAGTAACTGAGTGCCAAACGTAAAAATTTCGGTTAACTTGTGTTTTTTATAGGCAAAAGATTGAACTAAAGACCATATGTTACCAGACTAACTACACGCGCAAGATTCTTAGATACCAACTAAAAATACAAGTGTAAGTAGGGATGTGGAGAATGCACGAAACTTAAATTGGTTAAAACTACAGAGCAAATATTATTTTATGTGAAACATTTATTGTGGTATATTTGTATATATATATATAGTATGTATATATAATTAATCTGTTAATTACGCTGCAACATTTAAGATGAGTTTGGTTTGTCTCGAGTCTCGTGTGGGTAAACAGCAAATTTATACGCAAATGTAAGTTTACACAATACCAACCGATGTCTGTTCTTCTGTGTGAATGAGTGTGCATGTATGTTCTACGCTCTAATCAAATCTATACGTTATCTATGAATACTTTATATAATATATACGTTTCAATAATATAGTATTAATATATATGTATATACTGCATAAGAAGCTAAGGGCAACCAACTTTGGAAATGGCATTGAAATCATTTCGAAAACGTCTTCTCCAGTTCGGAGATCCCTTTGCTGGTCTTTTGAATATAATATTTTGCAACGTAAAACATTGAACTTGAAATATTATTCTCGTTATATGTTAATATTCATTCTTATTGCGACCAACACACAATTATCATTAGATTGGTTCGTCTTTTAACTCGGCTCTTAAGTTCTAATGTTAGCTTTTTTCTGGGTCTTTAATCGTCTTCAATTAAATCCTCAAGATCGTGCCAAGTGCTAGCACGTTTGAAATACAAATATATATATGTACACATATATATTTTAATATAGATTTAGTATTTGAGTTGGCCTCAACGTTAACACATCGGTATCAAAGTTATATATGTTTCATTTATATTGCTTATGCGGTTTCCTCGCTCCTCCAGTTAAACACCTACTACGTAATATCCGACAGTTAATGGTTGAATCATATGATTTACCTTTCGTTTAGAGGATAATCTCTATCAAACTTTAAGTTCACACAAAAAGAGTATTGTCGCATATGTATGTATTTTCTTCTTAGACTCTAATCATTGAGTTAAGATCATTGATTTCTTTGTATATCATAAACCAGCATTGCCTTCTGTGTGTGCCAAGTCCTAAGATAAAGCAAATGATAGTATAAAAACTAAGAAATGGATACCACTTGTCCCTGTGTATGTACAAATCAGAATGATGGAAATTAAAATGCTGCAAGTATTGCTCTAAAGGTATCATACAGTAAAAAACAAAGTTGAATTAAAACCAGATACGCATTCTTTGCAATTTAAAAACTAGTGGAAACGATAATACTTCACCCGGAACTCTAAATTTATACTTTTTTTTATATAAAACCAAGACTGGGTCTTGGAAGCCATTTAGTTTCTGTTAAAAGCAGATTCATATAAAATGTATATACAATTATTCCACCAATATTTAGAGATCCGGGTTTAGATAAACTAAAATGAGTGTTTGGTTTCTACTAATAAATTAAGAGTGTTTTTCAGATGAATATCAATACGTGTACTAATGAGGCAATCATTAAACTTTACGTTTACGTTTACTATTACTGTTAAGATTACGGTTTAAGTGGTACCAAGTTCGAAACGGAGAGTACGTTATACAAGTACATTTTACAAAGTCTAATATGACGGTGGTTTCTAATTCAACTATCGACTAATTGATTACCATTCGAATGGATTATTAATTATTACAGCTAGGCTTACGCTAGACATTAACAATACAATATGTTATACAGACACTTTAGTTTTTGGTTTTCTTTTTTTTGTGCATTATACAGGAAGAAAAATAATTCGTGCAAACTACTTTTAATTACATACAAGGTCGTTTCTTTCTCGTATTCCATTTATTTCAAATCAAATACAGAGGTTTTATTTGTAAAATTTGCTTTCACATTTCTTTTATTCGTTTCGATTCGTTTTAATTCAAAAAAGGGGTTTTACGCCAAGAAGTGTTTCAATAGGAAAATTACACAAAGGGTTCACATTATATATTTGGTTTGTCAGCAATTTGTTTGATTTTTCTCGGGTTCTGGGCTTTATAGGATCTGTTAGGCTAAAAGAGTAAATACCGTTTACATGTCCTTTGTATATATCGAAAGAATTATATATTGTGTTTCAGTATATATACTTATATATGAGTGTCTAACCATCGCTACAAGTATAGAGCGAGAAATAGAGCGACAGCAGTTACAAGTTACGGGGCGTTTTATATAATATATATATATCCGTTTCCGTTACAGGCTAAACAAATAATAACCAAATCCAATCTATGGCTACGATTCTCAGCCCAAGCCAAACTCAATTCAAGGGGTTTTCATACTGGGTTCACTTACGGCCTAAAAGTTATATCATTTTTATATATATATATGTGAAAACTTACGGCTAGCCTTCAAATTGTTTACCAAGTTGTTCAATATAATGCACTTGCTTATTTTGTATATAGTTTGACTTTCTTTATTCATACATTTCTGTTTGTGTTTGGAGAAACAAATTTACAACAGTTAGTAAGAAGACCCTTCCATTTCCACCTTCTGCTTCTGATTTTTAGTAAGATTTTAAGGTAAGAACTAAATCAACTTTATAAGCGGGGAGATCTCTAAACTTGAAATTTAAAATAATAACATTTCCTTTCCCAAAGGGTCGATGATTTCGTTAAAAATTCCTCGTTGCAAAAATTGTACTGATTGATTACGTTTAACAAGTATTAGCCAAGTGCTGAGCTCTCTCTCTTCCGCTTTAAATTGAAATTGTTTTGAAATCATCGAGGGTGCTAAGTAGGCAAAAAGTAGAAAAATTAAACAACTCTCCTCATAACTGAGATTTTTTTGTCTCTAATTTTAACTTTCCCCTTGTCACTATTGGTGTAAGAACTTTTGTCATGTCAATTAGTTGCTGGAAGACGAGTCTAAGTTATGTTTTCGTTTCGTTTTAGGAAAGTCTTGGCAAGGCTTTCTGCTGAAATTTTCGTTAGCGGTTTTACTCACCTTAGTTATTTTATGTAATTCACATTTATTCTTTTATGTTTTTAGGCCTTATCAAAAATCCTTGGTTGCATCAATGCATAAAAATTGAACTTGGTGTTGAATTCGTTCGTTTCGTTTTGCTTTTCTTTTCAAAATACAGCTCAGTATAATTGATATGTTACGAGCCCGTAAAAGTAATAATCATTCCTCGCTACATTTATATATATAAGAAAACATGTTCCTTGTTGAAGTATATATATATTTTTTGTTGTTTTGTTTTGTATTTTATATGGTATATTTGAATTTTGTTGTTTGCTTAACACTTAAATTAGGTTTCAATACGACTTGTTGTTGTCTTTGATTTTAGCATTTCGTTAAGCATTTGAAATGAGCAAAAGTAGCCACTTTTCATTCCCTTAAGTAATATGTTATGCATTTAATATATAATTTTAGCAATTGATAAATATATATAGCGCACGTTTAATCTCTTGAATACCTCGCTGCATTGCTCCGAAATTATTTAACACGTTCACTTGGACTTAATGGTAAGCTTACGAACTAATTCTCAATAAATTAAATCAAGTATTTCTTAGGGCATCATTTTCAATGTGATTTTTATATGTTTCGTTTGTTGCTTTGTTTTATATTTTCCCGTTTAAGTACGGGAAAATAATTGCTTTTAGATTTTATTGTGTTCGTTCGATTTTTGGTTTTAGTTCTTCACTTTACTTACCATCATTACTTCTTATTTTTTTTTATTTTTTAATGAAATAATTTGTGCCTATGCACATCAATTGACTAGCTTGTGGAAAGTGTGTTTTTGGTGTGTTTATAGCGCTTCGGTGATAAGTAAATGAAAGGGTAACAAATAATAAGCAAGAAGCCAAAAAATGCCAGGTTACGAAATCAAAAACGTTCTAATACCACTATTATTCGGTTTCTGTTTATTTAGGATCTAATTTAATAACCTGATTTCGGAATTTCGCTATAAATTTGGTCCTCATTAGTCAATTAAATCAACACTCTACCCTACTTGTTAGATGTACTCGTGGTAGTCGCACATCCAAAACCATATCCAAAATGAAAACTCGTTGTCTCCGGTTCGGAAAGAAAACCTCTTTATACGATTTAACAAAGTTTTTATTTCGTTTCGTGGTTTTCTTGGGTAAAACTCGAAAACTCTCGGTTGACACCATCAAAGTGATATGCGTTGTTTATAGCCTTCTCCTCTTCACAACAAGAGTTGATGAAATGTCTTTCTTTCCTTTGTTCTCTGTAATTCATTTTACTTATACCAAAAACACTACTCTTAGTATGCAATTTGACACATTTCGAGAGACGCGCCTCAATATATAATTGATATATACATATAATATATAGTTTTTGTTTCGGTTTTACTAATTGAATATATCACGGTCTTGCTAAATATCATCGTATGTATATATATGTATCTGTATCTTTATGTAAATATCTATAAAGTTATCGCCACTTGAGTTGCGCTATCTAAACCCAACTACATTCAAATTGCTAAAACCGTCTCGAGTCCCGAGTCCGAGTTGGAATCCAAAAGGCTCATTCGGATCGTTCGATTCGATTACATTTAGTAGTGAGTATAAGTACTTTGCTCAGTTTGTTAGGTAATTTGGTTTACGAATACTGACACTTGAATGCTGAAACACAGTTGATCTTATTGTCATATGATGTATGTGTGTATGTAAGTAGATGTAGGTAGGTAGTATGTATGTAAGTAGTTAATGCTAATGCCTTGCTAGTTGGGGTCTCAGATGCAGTTGATGATATGGGGTTGTTGTCTCTGCATTATCTTGGAGATTGTAAAAGGGATGTAACTCAATTGACTACTGTACACGGTTCATCATGCTTTGTTTGTGTGTATATATCTATTAAATATGAGAATAAGTAACTATGTTGTATCTAAATATGTTGGTAGTAAACCTACGAGTTAAAACGAAAAGAAACTCCAATACTCCAGTGTTATATATATTACAGCAAGTTCTTGAGATGGCCCGATAAATTAGGAAATAGAATATATAGAAGAAACTCTTGGCGACGCTACACGACACGAAAACAAAGGCAAATGTACTGATTCTGTTGAAGATTTTTGGTTTGATATTCGGGGGCTGACTGATAAGTAGTTTTTGGCATATATTTGAGACTTCCAGATTTTGTCAACTTATCAACCAGCCCCGTCTTAGTGAGCAATTCAACTATTTGTTTTTGGTAATCAAACAATAGATATATGTATATGTATATATTTATAGAGAGAGAGCGCTATATAAGTATGTTCGATCTGATACTATATATATATCAAAATTAGCAAGCTACTACTTTGGGTATATATCTTTGGTACGAGAGTAAAGAAAACAAAACATTTCATTGGATACAAGAGGTATATTGTTTTTTATATCGGATTCAGACTGTGGCAACTGTTACAAGTACAAAGAACTAAGTAAATCGGCCGACTTTCGGTCGGTTTCAATATCTTGAATGTTGAATGTTGAAGCATAAGGAAATGTACAACGAAATTATAAATTTTACATAGGCGGCAACTGTTACAGCATTTTTTGACTTCTTGCGTTCGCAGCTAAGATTATAAATAAATATAAAATGCATTAATCAAATATAAATAAGTTTATTTGTTTGGTTTTTGTTTCGTTTATAAAATATGTCAATAGAACAAAGTTTGTGTAGTGTAATTAAAGGAATTTCTGGCAGGGTAAATCAATCTTATGCTAAAAGCAATGGTTCTGAGATCGAGATCTGACGGAGGAATGGGGTAAAAAGAGTAAATATTAATATCGATAAGTAAATGGCACCATATAGCATGTATTTTGGAATGTGTTAAGAGTCTTAAGCGTAAATAATAAATAAATAAATAAATTAGTTCCCGCGTATGAAGATGATGGGACGACGAGCCCCTCAAAATGTAAAGTGATTTTCCAGTTAATATTCAAAATCTTTGGTATACAGAAACGATAATAATACATACTCACCCCGCGTAAAATCTACAGGAATTAAAAACAATTCTCCGCACACACAATCGTTTACTTTCTTTTTGTTTTTGGTACTGGCAAATGCATCGAAATGTATCAAGTTCTACACACATGGGTGATGGGATCAGAAGAATACAGAGAGAGACAGAGGGGGCACAGCACAACAAAAGATATACGAGTAATACGAGGTAAAATCAAATCAAATACGTTACAAATATATATACAATCGAATTGTGTAAGTACAAATAATAAGAAAACACAAATTGTTTGCTCAAATCATTAGCAAAGTTCTTTCTGGTTTGTTTGGTTTTTTATTATTAAACACAATATAGTTACTTCAAATGTTTTATTGTTCTTTTCCATATAATGTGTGTGTGTGTGTGTGTGTAAACTAGATATTTACATACGCAAAAGATTACTTTCCAAATGAATAGCTAGGAATTAAAACTAACTTCAAACATGCAAGCGATTCAAATGAGACAAAATACTTAACTAATAATCAGGAGCGGTTGTCCTTGCTTCGATTTCTGTTTGTTGGTTTCAATGGATGAAGTAGTAGTAGTAAATATATATAAAATGCAAATGCTACACAAGGGTAATAATTACAAAATATAATTAAGAACTAAGATTGTGCCATATGTCTAATATTTTAAAACAATAAAAGCTACGGTAAAAGTAAAGTAATGTGTTACCTGGTTCATATAAGGATGGTTATGCAAATGAGGAGGGACGGGGGGCGGAAAAATGAGGGTAGATTAGTTCTGGCTCACTTAAAAAATCTACAAAAGACGCTGCTCTCTTTCGGTCGAAATCAAAATAGATGCAAATGCCAAGATGTTATTAAATTACTCGCTACAAATGATTGAGATTGGGGTGGAGACTAAGCTATAATAATTACACAACTAAGTCAAACTAAAGTCGAAAGTCACACACAGAACACGAAACAAAATATAGATTTGCTCGTCGTGGGTTTTATATATAGTATATTATTGTTACAATATTAAGTACAAAGAACAGAGTAAGAGATAGGAGGGGGTGGTAGGGCAGGGGGGATGGTGATGTGGTGCGGAGAGTGTGATGTGTGTCTTGATGGTAAACCTAAGTTGTTGTATGAATTAAATTCGAACTCAACTAAACGTCTAAGGTAATAGTTCATTTTGGGTGTTTTGATCGCGTTAGTTGGTTAACATAATTAATAACTCTTTGTCTTGAGCAAAATGTTTTCTTTTGAAGTTTTCATTCAATTACTTAATACTGCCTTCGCAGGAGAAAAAAAATGGATCATATTTCAATGAGCGCCCTTTTCTTGGTTAACTTGTAAGATTCGTGCCTTGCTCTTGCTCTTTTCTTTTTATAAATATGGTTTTATATTTACTCTTTATTATTTATATATTTTTTTTGTTTTGTTTTGTTAAAATTTATGTTTAGGTTTTTAATGGTACTCTTTTATGCACTAAAAATAATATATATTAACGGCTACATTTAAACGCAATCACAATCGGTGGTTTTTTAATGTGGTTATCCTCCTATTCGCTTCTCTTCTAATTGTTTGTTTTTTTTTTTTGGTTTGAATTTTGTTTCTCCTTGATTTCTCGCTTCGTTTAGCTTCCTTTTCATATTTTTTGTTTGTTTCTTGTATTGCTTATGATTTGTTATTATTCAACTCGCCGCCCCGGGAGCGCCTTAAATATAATACTTAATATTTGCCTGCCTACTAGCTAAGCCAAACTCAAAGGATAACTAACTTCGGATGAGTAGTGTTGCTGTGTGAGTGTGGATGGGGGCCATGTGAGTGGGGGGCGTGTGTGGTGTGGTGTCTGTTTCATTCAAATTACCAACACAAAACGCTCGATTTGCCTTGGTACTTAGACGTACATGCCCATGCCGTACATGGTGCTCCAGTCGACGCCCTGGAAGCTGGACATGTCCACATTGGCCAGCGCGTAGTTGGAGTAGGCGGCCGCCGGATTGGCAGCAGCGGCGGCGGCGGCAGCGGCTGCATTCAGGGGATTGCCGGCCACCAGGGCAGCTTGCTGGGCGGCAGCGGCCAGGCTGTGTGCTCCAGCGGCGCCAGCTCCGTTGGCGGCATTGGCCGCTAAGGCGGCAGCCGCTGCTGCTGAATGCGCCTGCGAGGCAGAATTCGAGGCGGCGACGGCGTTGTGATGGTTCTGCTGCTGCTGCTGGGCGGCGGCCATCTGGGCGTTGTGGGTCTGCTGGTGGTGGTGATGCTGCTGTTGCTGCTGCTGCTGGTGCTGATGATGGGCAGCGGCAGCCACGCTCTGCGCCTGATGGGCCTGCATCAAGGCGGCGTTGGCAGTGGCGGCGGTGGCGGGGATCGAGTAGGGTGCATACCTGTTTAGGGAAGGGGATTAGTTCGGTGTCCGATCAGGATCGGTGCTTCTGCACACTCACCTGACGCTGTGCAGCGCCGTCTGCGGATATGTGGTCAACAGCTTGCCGAAGCCCGACTGATTGGCCATCGAGGCGGCCGCGGCGGCGTTTTGTACTTGAAACGGATTCTGTGATATGAGGGCAGCCTGTTGGGCGGCAGCGGCAGCCGCTGCCGGCGACTGCAGCAGCTGTGTGGGATTCTGTAGCATGGCCAAGGGGTTCATGCCGGCGACACCGGCTCCTCGGGCTCCGATCAGTTGGCCAGGAGCTGTGGGCAGCTGGACGCCCAGGGTGCCCAGCATGATGCGCTTCTGGAGGAGCTGGGCGGCCGGTGTGACCGAATCCTTGGGCTGGGCCTTCTTGCACTCGACCTTCTTGTTCTTGATGGTGTGGAAGTGAATCTCGCAGACGCGGTCCACCACATCCTCGTTCTCGAAGGTGACGAACCCAAAGCCGCGATGACGCTTCGTCTGCTGGTCCATCAGCATGACCGTCTCCTCGACGGCACCGAACTGGTTAAAGTAGGCCTTGACCTCCTCAGCGGAGGTGTCTTGCGAGACGCCGCCGACGAAGATCTTCTTGGTCTTGTTGGCCTGGCGCGGGCGGTTCTTTGGGGTGGCGTGCTTGGGGTCAATCTTCTTGCCGTCAAGCGTGTGGATTGGCACCTTGAGGACCTTCTCCACGGTGGAAGGGTCCTGGAATGTGATGAAGCCGAAGCCGCGACTGCGCTGTGGGTGTAGGCGTTGTGACGTGGACGGGGGGGAAGAGAAACAAATAGAAACACGGATAGATTAGCAGGGAGCAATCACTGGAGACTTCGGTTAGAGGGACTAAGTCTAAATTGCAAATTGTAGTTGTAGTTATATAACTAGGATTAATAATCGTAAAATGTCCTACGGAACGTTAGCAAAAGTCCAACAAAGTAAGAATCAATATCAATTCGACCGGAACTCGATCTTCCACAAATATATATTTAAAAATTATATATAGATATATATATATATGTATATATGTAAACACAGATACGTTATACAGTTTATATTATGCAGGTATGTAGATGGCTTTTTATCGACTTTACGCTTTTTGCTCATCAAATTTGCATTGCTTTCCATTTAGTTCTGATTTTGTGGAGTAAACACAAACGAGTTTTAATTGAATTGTAATCCAAAGAACATAAAATAAGTTTTGCAACTATTGAACTAAAGTTTTGTCTAAAGATACTTTTGCTTTGTTAACGGAATACCAATATTTATACGCATAGATAGATCGATCGTTATAATGGTCATTATTCGCTAAGCTGGAACGTACATATATCAGAGAAACATTACGAAATATAGTATGCATTCAACGTGTGTTCTCTTTATACTGATGCGACACCCCTCTAGAGCCCAGATATACATATACAGATATGTTGGTACAGGAGGCATAGATATATATATATTATATACACGACAAACTGGAGGATACCAAAGACTTCCGTTCACCTCACCGTGAATGCGAACTCAACTCAAGGATACAAATGTGTGTGGCAATTACATATGTCGACGTGATAAGTAGTATTAGAAAAGTACGAATTGGTGCGTTTTAGTTCAACACTTTTTCTACATGGAATATTAATTTAAGCAATTTTAAAAGTATTTCTTAAGTAAATAAGAATGTATTTAGGCAATTTCCTTTGTCAAAAAGTTTGACTTTTAAAACGCACTTTTAATATTACAAAAAAACAAGAGTATAAATGTTCTAAAAATATGTTCTAAAAATGTTTTCTATAGCATTTGTATATAGTTCTTTTTCAAAATTGAATTTAACCCGCTTTTGCCATACAATTTGTTTTCTTCGGTTAGTTTTGCTTAAGTTTACTTAATATTTTTCTTTTCTTTTTTACAAAGAATGAGTCTTGAATGTATGATATTTTTGCTTAATCTAATTAATAACTCTCGTAGAATATTACAGTAATGTGGGGAATACAGTTGTTGCTTAAGCCTATGGCATATATTTAGAGTAGATCGATTTATAGTACACAATTCCAGAGAGAAAGAGAGATGAAAGCTATGGGACTACCTACCTAAAGAGTAAGATATGTATACAAGTTCTAGTATATAGTATAACCCTGGTGGAGATTCGTTCATTGGCTGGGGAGTTGTTGGGGAAACGTACTTGGACTATCTACTTACAGATACGGGACTTGTAATTTTTGATTCTTTATTATTAAGGCCAATATGGAGGGTTTCTATGGATTAAGCTTTATTCAGGGATCCCATAAACAGAAAATTATTATCAACGCAACGAAATTAAACATTTGCTCGATAGATATTCGAACTACGAAATTAAAAGACAAATATGGATTATTATATGTAATCGATATGCCAAAACAAAATAATATAAAGCATCAACTAAACACACACAAACAGAATTTTGCATAATGGGTTAAGTATAACAAAAGTCTAGCGTTTACGGGGCTGGTAATATATCGTATCAAATACATATGTGTGTTGGGTACATATTATGCTAATCTAGGGTTCTTATTTATGTTACACAATCAATTCAAGAAAGGTTGCCATGGACGATTTCGGCTCTCATCTTGCGCTAAGTTGGGAAGAAGGTGGGTTCTCGGGTAGCAAGTAGTAGGTATTATTGGGGTAAAACACGCCTCATCCAACTAGAGCTTGAATTGATTACTATAGGTTACTCGTTATTAGTTTGTTTTGCTTTTTTTTCGAGGCTTGCTTAAGATCAATGCGTGAATTCGACTGTTTTTCATTACTTTTTGTTGCTGGGTGAGAGAAACACTAAGAGTAAACCAAGTACACAATGCGGAGTAGTACGAGTACAAGAACGAGTACATTCAATTAGAGATACGAGTACAGTTACATTATTATTGCTCATAGTTATACGAAATACGAGTTACGATGCGCCAGAGTCTTGAGTAATTGAAAGTACGCTAAGCGTACGAGGTTAAAGTCCTTGGCGATTTATATTTCTTGATTTTTTTTGTTTTATAATAATGTACCTAAGCTGTCGCTGGTTCGTCATCCTGTGGTTGGCATCTCGTGGTTACCTGGGACCAGGTTCCTTCGTGGCTTCCGGCCTTGTCCTTGACTCTTGAGGGATTCCTCACTTTGGGTTGTGGTTTCACGTTGATTAAAATTATGTGTTATATTTAGTAATTCGTACATAGTTTACTACATAAAGCTAGCTATATAATTTATCGATCTTAGGTGCTTATGGACTACAGTACTCCCCAGAGACGACGGTTCATAGCCAGGATCGTCTTCAAAAACGATCGGGGGCCCGCCGGAGACAGTTGGTAAACCAGTTTTCTTCTCGCTTCTGTTGTTTTTCTTCATTCCTTTGTTGGTTTCTTGTTTTTTTTTTCTTTTTGTATTCCTTGTTTTCAGGGGGAAGGGACAAAAGGTGTTTTCTGTGCTGTGAGTATGTGTGTGTGTGTATATCTCTTGGAGTTTATTCGAGAGGGGACAGGACAACGACAACCCCGTTAGCCGATCGCTATAACTGCCCTATCATGCAGCCGTAGTTCCAACTCATTCCGTAATTGCGCAATTGGCTCGGCTGCAAACCACCCCAGGTAAACAGAAGAACGTTGTCCTGTGCCGAATCCAGGCAACATATTCAGGGAACCCTCCCAACTAGCAGGCGCTCGCAGGAACAGCTGCTCCTGCGGAGGAACAGGACTCGGGAACAATGCGACGGCAGCTGCTATATTTTATTGCCCGAGAGCAACGCGCGCGCGCGCTCTTTTTCGATGGGGAGCCACGGCCACGACGATGATGAATCGTAGTATGTGGCATGTAGTACGTGGTACCCACCAAAAAATACATGTAGGATGTATGGATAATGTTCGCTTATCGAGCGGACAAATTGCCCAACGCATTAAGCATTTCGAAAGTCAATTTCCGGGGCAATAACTCGGGTCTTCGAAGGGAAACTGAAGCAAGAACATCGGTCCGAAAAATTTGTGAGCTAACTTTTGATATTTCTAAGGAAACATTTGTTTGTGTTTTTCGTTCTTGGATTCAGATGAAGAGATTTTAATAATATTTAATAATAAAAAATAATTAAAACATACTTATTTAGGTTTAACAAGTTAGACCTTGACTGTCTTAGAAAATATTTATTACAAAAAATGTAGTTTTCATGGTTAACTATTAAAAGAAAATCTGAAATTGATGATAAACCTTTAAATACTCTTCCTCATTGTTCTTTTAATTACTAATTAAAATAGTTAAGATCCTAAAAAGATTAAAAAAACTACAAATATAAGCCTCATGGTATATAAAATACAATTCTCAAAGATGGCTCTAAATTGAGTCGTTATTTCTGAAATCTTCTTCTGGATTTCCTGACAATATTTGTAATATAAACTATAAATTGTTGTAAAGTGTAAAAACAACTTCAGAGGAAGTGTAAATTGATAGCTGTCCCGCATACAAATTATGACAGGGAAATTGAATTTATTCTTCAGAGTTCGTGTCTCAATAATCGGAGTAGCTGAACCCCAAAAGACAGGCTGATCTACATATAAAACCTGATTACATTCGATTTGGGATTTTGGTTTTCCTGCTCCTGCTCCTCCTCTGCCTTCTGCTTGGTCGCTCCTTTGTTTTTGGCACGTAGCCGAGACGGAGAGCGAAGCGAAAAGAATTAAGAACTGTAATTCTAAACCCGGGAATACCGAAACAGAAGAGACGAAAAGGAAAGAGAACCTGCAGCTTGCAGCTGTGCCAAAGGTAAATCACAAAGAGGATGGACCGATATATCAATAGGGAGTGTATAGCTGTAAACCCGAAGGCAGGGGGATTATGGAACTCGAAATATAATGGTATAATAGGGAATAATAGCTAGGCAAGACATAATGGAAGGCTCTCCGCTTACCTGGGTGATGGGATCCTTCATGATCAGGACATCGGTGACGGTGCCAAACATGTTAAAGTATTCCTTCAGCTTGTCCGACGACGTTTGCCAGCTGAGCCCGCCGACGAACAGCTTGCCGGGAGCGGGATCGGAGCCACTGCCTCCGCTCAGGCTGGGCGTGGAGCGGCCAGAGGAGCCGCTCTTGTTGCTTCCGCCCTGCTGCTGCTGCTGTCCGTTGCTGTTGGACCCCACACCTGCCGAGGCGTTAACGTTCTCCTTGAGCAGGGCCAGGGCGGCCTGTTGGGCCTGCTCCTGGCTGGCCGCCTGCTGTTGATCCTGTCCGGCTCCAGCGGACTGTGTGGCGCTTTTGAGCACCGCAGCTGTGGTCAGGCCACCGCCTATGGCGGCCACCCCGTTGTTGGCAATGGAGGCCACCAGGGCCTGGTGCAAATCCCGATGCGGATCAATAAGACCCGCGGCGGCGGCAGCAGCGGCTGCGTTCTCCATGGGATTGCTGTGGGCAAAGAAGAAGTTATCGGGTTTGAGCAGGTGATCCTCGCCAGAGTTCGGCGGCGGTGGCAGCTGGGGGTGCAGCATGGTGGCGCCTTCCGGGAGCGCGTGAATTTCCTGCTTTATCTGAATGTTGAAGCCTTTTTTTCGTAGCACACTTTTACTGTTTTTCTCTGGGTTTTCGCTACTTTTCTATTTATCTGTAGTTCTATTTGCGAATTTTTAAAACTGCCTTTTATTTAAACACTTTTTTTAGGTTAAAAAACACGACGTTTTGTTCTTTGCTTATTTCTTTCTAACTTTCGCGCTCTCCTTCTTTCACTTTGTTGTTCCTTTGGTTTCGTCTTCACTTTGTTGTTGCCAATGGCAATGCCTTTGAATTTTTTTTTTTATATCCCTTCGACAAAACAAAAAGCCGTAAATAAAAGCCAAAAACGTTAACGAAAATGTTCTAACAACACGACAGCGGTACTACCGAGACTTTGTTGTTTGTTTGCTTGTTTCGAATTTTTTCTCTGGGTTGCGACTGCGCAGCTTGGGATGTTGGATTCAAGTAACTCGAAAAACTGAGTGTCATGCCTTCCTTTCCTCCACGAGCCTACCTCGACGCCTCTGCCGGCGTCGCAGTCGGGAACAGCTGTCACGGCGGTTGTCAGGTAACCAAAAGCCGTAGGGGTTGCAGTGTTTCAAACCAGACTACAAAACAAAAAACTGGAATCTGAATATCGATAGCTATATCGATAGGCAATTTTAACTGTCACTAATTTAAGTTTTTAATTTGTTTAAACATTTTTTTTATTTTGAAATTCTTAATCCGTTGGGGATGCTCTTACAACTCCCTTGATAAATCTGGCAATTAAAAGAGTAAAGTGCAAAGGGATGTTGGAAAGTCCACTTGAGAAGTAAAGTAATGAAAAATAAATCTTTCAATGATTTACGACAGACATCGGGCCATTTAATTGTTTATTTGATAATAAAATTTTATAAATTTAATCAGTCTTTATTCTTTGTAATGCATTTATAATTTACTGACTACTAACCACTAGAATTCTATTTCTAAGCAAGCTTTGTTTTAATTTTCTTTCTAAGAAGGTAAAGTTCTTGTGGTTAGGGCTGGATTTATAATATTTACTTATTAACTTTTATATTAGAACTTCTGTACTTCTGCCTGATTTTAAGACACCAAAACCTTCGTCATTACGGCTCGATATATATTTTTTTGCAAGAATATTTCGTCAAATTCTTTGCAAGCCTCTCTTATGGGTTCCTTTTTCAGGCAATACCCATAATAGTGATTTCGGGAGTTGCGGTTTGTGTAGAAGTGATATGGTGGCTTAAGATTGCTCTGACCAGACACGATGTCTCCTATACGGCAAATTCGGCGTTTTACGAGTCTCAAGAGACCCGACAAGGACCGTGGTATAAACCAACATACCGGAAGGTAAGACCTGCCACATAAATACGACTTCAGCTAAAGCTTTCTCCCCAACTTATTTCCAACAGTTTGTGAGGTTTAACCAAAAATGTGAGACTCCACGGGGAGTGATTGAGGCCCAAGGCGACCCTGCAGGTGAATCGTGTGAGTAACAAAACCCAAATGTGGTAAATTGTTAAGCTCCAGGCTTTCTAGCTTCTGAGAGGACCTAAACAGAAGTTAAGCAGCAAGGAAATCCAATAGAAGATCGAGACTGTCAAAGGGACAATCACCAAATTCCATGAAAAAGAGAGAGAAGAGAGTATGTATAGCCAGAGCAGGATCTGCCAAATCGGAACCAATCTAGATTAAGGTCTAACGGTTTCAAATAAAGCTGTCGTCTTAGGTTCGCCGTGGGTATTATCAGGCCAAGTTCTATCTTCTTTAATCTACCAACTTAAATAATTGCAGGAAAATGTAACCCAGTCGTCTTAGTCGATTATTAAAAAAATGAATCAATAAATTCGGATCAAATTCTAAAATAAAGGATGCAATAGTATGAAATTATAATATATGTACTTTTGAAAATAAATATTTTCATATAACTTGTCAACTGTTATTACTTACAGTTATAATATATTCTTCCCTGAAAACCCAATCAAATAAATGATGTGTTTTTATTTACGTATTCCTATAATTAATTCAAGATCATCTTTCAATATTATACATTTTATATAAATGAATTTTCTTGCATCTCTAAAAGTATGCGTTGATAACCCGCAGGTCATCCCCATTATAGGGGTATGTACATTTGCTTTGATAATGAAAATTACCGTCATAATTCTGATGGGCTTCAAAAAGGATGACGTCTGGTTCACCAAAGGTTCCGCTCGCTGCGAAGACTTTGAGACACGCAGCGGACCCTGGTACAAGGCCAAAAGTCGCAAGGTGAGTCCGTGCACATTATAATGAAATCTGTATAATCCTAGTGTCCGGATCTACAGTGGGGCGGTCGAGATGACTACCCAGTGCCAGCTGAGGCGCTCTTGGCCAGACAAGGCGACACGAATGGTCCCCCATGTAAGTTTGCTTTTGAATTTGGGTTTTTCAGTGCTTTCCAGTAGTTTTTATTCGTTATTTTAATGTAAACCCAACATTTTCTATTCTTTCCAGTTCCGGCGGACGATGATGATGATGATAGTGACAATGGTTTAAGTGCTACAGAAGTGGCCGTTCACGTCGGCGTCACTACCGGGGTGATTGGCGTAGCCACATTCTTAGCCGCGTGATATCAAGGCGCTGCATCTGTAATACTTCTTCATCTTACATGTCTACTGTGTTCATAGTTGAGGGGAAAAACAGGAAAATAGGCCTGGCCTAGGGGTCAGATCAGACAGATCATTTCTCACATAAGCCTGACCATTCGATTTCCGGCTATTAGTTTGACCATAAACTTTCGTGTTCGCTAGGATAGCGTCTTAACAAAAAGGATACGGAGGTGGAACGGAAGGATATCAACATAGGAAGCTAAACCGGCTTGGCCAGTGAAATTCGAGTTGGGAAACCTTACAAAAAGGACTGACCAGCGGAAAGGAATGAGAGAGAATGAAGCCCCTGATCTTGTTTTGTGAAATGGTATTTCTTGCGCAAGTTATAAATAAATATATGTATATTTTCCTAAACTAGATAGATCTTTAAGGAAATAAAAATTGGGGTATAATGCGGTTTTTAAACCAAATCAAATGTTTTCTATTAATTAATTAAATTGGTATCACAATTATTTAAAAGATTAATGCTTGCATCAATTATTTATGAAATTAAAAAATAATTTATAATAAAAATTATAATTGAACAATGAATAAATTCATCAAAATTTTAAAAATTTTTGAAATATAAGAATAAATTTTTAAAATATTTATTTATTTTTAAAATTTATAAAACTTGACACATTTTTACATTGCAGTGGCGCCTCTCAGCGGACTGATTTGGTTGATTTAAAATACATGTAAAATACAAAGTCAACTAAAACCTTGTGTAGCGCCCATGTAGAAGTCAAATACAAATAGGTCAAAACCTAATATTATTGTATTTTTTTAATAAAAATTGCTAACTTCCTAGTTATCTAACTAAAAATTTAACAAACTAAATTTGTCATTTCTTGTATAATTTAAATATTCATTAAAAGTCAGAAAACAAATCAATTGGACAAGGAAAAGGATCCCTGAAAAGCAAATCCCTTTTAGCAACAGTTGCAGCCCAAACTAGCATTTTTCGCACATGATATATAGAAGGAAACTCGGCACGAATGCCTGCCCGCTTGTAACTAAGTGGAAACAAAACAAATAACTTACTTAAATATGAATATGTTTTGTTAATGCCCTTCGGCAAATTGCTGTACCTTTTGTGTGTGGACATCGCCGCCCCTTAATAATGCCTGCGCCCGAGCGCTCGCTCGTTCGTTCCTTCGCTCTTTCCTGTCATATCCCAAAAAACATAAACTCATTTTCCAGGGCGCCTGCGCTTTCCACCAATCCGAAAAAGCGGGGACTCCAGCAGGCAAAAGGAAAAAAATCCCAAAAAATAGCAGGAAAAAAAGGAATTGGTTGCTGCTTGGGACAATTTTCAGAGTCTTAAATTGAGACCAGGTTTTTCTTTCCCCTATGTCTCGGTGTGTGTGTGTGTCCTGTGGGTGTGCGCTAAATTGAACGCATATGTGTGTGTGTGTGTGCGGGCAAAAACAAATCGTGGCTGCGTTATGCTGTGCGTTATTGATTTTTGGCACAGGAAATGGGAAATAATGCCAAAGGATATGAAATTTATTAAAATAGATTGCAAAATAATTCAATGAAGATGTTGAAAGGCAAGCGCGCAGCTGCTGCGCGGCAGCAGGGGGAGTTTTCCTCCGGCACACGTGTGAGAGTGTGCGAGAGTGTGTTGATTTTCCTCCTACGGTTGTTGAACTTTTCCAAAGCAGCGACGTCGCCGTCGTCTGCAGGATTTTTTGTCGTGTGAAAGACGTCTGTCTGTCAATTTTATGGCTACTGACCCAGAAAAATGAAATGCTAAAAAGAAGAAGCCCTTTACCGGTAAGGGGTATCGGCTATTGGCAAGGATTTGGCATGTGTTTAGGGCCTTGGCTTTGGCTTGGGGAAATTAATGCCGAAAACACGATGCCGACAGCGACGATGACATCAGCAGTCGCCACCGCGATATGTAATTCGATTAGGCGCACTTAACAACTTAACCTCCTCCTCCTCATCTTCCTCGCACTCTATGTATAAAGGTCCCCTCACGCATTTTAATTGCGTCAAATAAACAGCGGGGAAGGTGCTTGGTGCCACGAGCCATCATCCTGTTTTTTATGGCCTCCCCTAGAGTTACATTTGCCCAGTAAATTAAGTAGTTAAAGGCGAGTGGAAATAATTTCATAATATTAGGTATATCTTGGGAAGAAACTATCCCATAACTGTGGCATTATTTTGAGTAAGTGTATGCTTGTAAGCTTAGTTATTTTATTGTTTAATAAATGCTATTATTAAGTAATTTATTGATATTTTATGCATGAAGAGGTTGCATGATAAAGTTTATGGAGTTTTCAGTAGTAAGACAATTCTCTAAGAAGTAAATTTATGAAGTACACGTAAGGAATAATCCTCCAAAGATACATATTAAATGTAACATAAATCCCAAAGTGTCGCCAATTAATGGATTTCCCTCAGTATCCCATACAAGGTGAGGTATATTAAAAATGAATGCATCACTTTACAAATTAAGGAAAACATTAAACATCCCTGCAGCATCATGTTTTATGCAGCCTTTGAAATAGTCAATCTATTCCCCCGGCAATAAGGATTTGCTGTCGCCAAGTGAAATGTCCTTTGCCACAGCCTTGGCTCAAAGTAGCTTGTCAGGGAAAAATACTTTCTAATCCGATGACAAACAGCAATGTGAAACCAACTCAATCCAACAAAAACTCCGGTGATTCCCCCTTGGGCCACAAAAGCAAATTGCAATGCAATTTGCCGGATCCGTCTCGCAAAACAAGGAAAACACTCGAGAAATGCCACCAACAAATTGCATGGATTTGCGCCTGAACAGCCTCGGCAACAATTTCCCTCTCTCACCTGTCGTTTTGCCCTTTGGCCTGCATTTTACCACCCAACACCCGCCAGAGGCCTGCATTGAAATTTATGTAGATACAAAACTGCAATTCAGAGCGAGAGAACCGTCAGTGTTTTCATTGAGAAAAATGCCACAGAATGCATAAACGCGATGGTTGGCAACCCTTAGCATTCGAGCCTGGCTAAAAGCATATGGCCTGGCCTGGCCTGCCTGCCTGCCTTATTGTTTTTGCATTTGATTTTGCCTAAAGGGGGGGCTGGGGCGGTCTCTGTTGATGGATGGCACTTGCACCGGCCAAAGTGCACAGAGTGCCACGGAAAACGCCGCATAAATTCAGCACGGAGAGCTGGATCGTTCGCTCGCGTCGCTTGGAAAGGTCTATATATCATATACCTTACACATATATACGTACATATGTATATGCACTCGGGGGGTGGCTTCCATTTCAGACCGCTGGAAGAGCGGCAAAGGCAGCGAAGCTGCCTGGAAGCAGCAACCACCCTCGACAAAGAAGCTCCGACTCCGCTGACTCGCGTACACAGAGCAAAAATCTGCCCTACAAAGGCCCACTTCTGCCACCGGCAGCGGGACACACATAAATCCATCCGAAAAGGGCGCGAGGAAAAGAGAGCCAGACCCGACGGCAGAAGCAACCCCCTGAAATCGGGGGAGATATTCTGCAATTGGAATGCGCGCGCAACCCTCGGCAAGCCGACGAAAATCGAGAAATCGAGACGACGGCGGCCGCTGCTTCCCTGGGCTGCCTTTCAGTCAACTTTGGGTATCCGTACGGGCAATTTCTCCCGGACCGATGGCGGACAACGGCTGACGGATGACGACGGATCCCTCGGACTACTCAAAACCGGGCCACAGCAAACTCAAAAACTAACCCGAATAACCCGTGGATAGCCTCCTCTTGCAGTGTGCCAGTGATAGAAAAGTGTTGCGATAAAAAAGGATATACACACAGAAAATGAAGCGCCAGGCAAATCCATAAGGATATATCGCGCAAATCGGACGCTTGCCATTGATATTGTCCTGTCACAGCAGTATTGTAACACTATATTATAGCTTACTGCTGGGTCGGGGCATTAACATTGTTGAGCGTCATTAGCAACGAGCAGCGGAAAACTCCGAAACTCAAAGGAAAACGCACCGAACTTTCTTCTTTCCGGCTTTGGGAAAGCCAAGCTCACACACAGACACACTCCCCCACACACAGAAACGCACCACGCACTGTATGTGATTGTGTGTGTATATGAGTAACCGGAAAAATCAATTTTCCATTTTTAATTCAAAGCTCACACAGCACAGGACACTCGCACACACAACGCACGTGCATGTATATGTCGGTATATATGTGTGAGTGTGTATCAGGACGAAAAGGGATAAGCAGGATGCTGCAAAATCTGCAGTGCGAGCGAGAGAAAACGAGCGGGAAGGAGAGAGATAGAGGCAGCCAGAGAGAACCCGAGAGAGAGGGAGTAAAGGAAATGAGAGAAATTCAAAGGGAGAAATGGGTTTTTGTATAGACAAAAGCCAAGCAAATTAATCAAAGTCACTCGGGAAAACTTAAACAAAATTAAGGAAAGTATGCTTATAAAGCACGCTTTTCCATCGTTAGAATTTCCCATTATTTTATCCGGGAAGCTAACTCACTTTCGACATAACCAAAAGGCCAAGAAGAGCCCAAAAACGAGACAGCGACCACTCCCTGATTTTTCTCGCTTTTCGTGGGAGTTTCTAAGGATGGCATTTACGGGGGTGGCAGAAGGGGGACCCCCTTTTTTTCCATCAGAAAACTGTTGCCAGCCCGAAAAGCCGGATAAGTCCTAAGGAGATGCCAAAAAGTTGCACCAGAATCAGCAGCATCAACATCATCATCATCATCATTATAGTTGTCAACCCCTAAATATAATCCCGGTGGAGAACTGCATTAGAATACAACGAAAAAATTGAAATGCAAAAAGATGACAAGGATTTTGGCCAACAACAAAGGAAAGAGATGATGAATTGGTAGATGGAGAGATTGAGAGCAGAGCAGGGACAGCTGAAAAATGGGATTTAAATGCAGTCGCCAGAGCGAGGGGAAGGATCTGAGTCTGAGTCCGCGTCCGAATCTGAATCCGGGAAGCCCTCGCTAAGGGTTGCTCTCTCCCATCTCACGTTTCTGCAGTTTGTTCAGGATAATGGCATAGGCATAGGTTTTTGGCCCACAAAACGAGGGAAGGTGGGGATTCACCGGGGGTGGGATGCTCGAATTTGCCGGCCTGCGATGCACAGGCTGTTTCAAGGATCAAAGCCTTTTTGGGCGTTTCTCTGCAGCTGTGTGTGCGTGTGCGGCCTGTGCGTCCTGTGTGTGTTTGCATAAATACTTCGAAATTGGCCAAGCGTTTGTTGTGCTTATCAAATTGACAACGCTTAGCTGTGCTTGAGGTAGCCAAATTGTTTCAACAGACGGGAAGAGAGGGTGCGGGTGCTGCTGCATCCTTGTGCACTGATAAAGGATTAAGGGTTGCTACCGCTTAATGTGCTGTAGCGGAAGTGAAGTGGTCTCCGT